CTGCTGCTGGTGGCATTAGTACTAGTACTCCAATACAATTAAAAAGGTACACTAAAGATCCATTTGATACTTGACAAAATGGTATATTCAGAATCCTCATAAAAAACTGGTGTAGRCAGTGTCTTCAAAAATTATATTATTACCCTTTTTGATAAAGTTATGACTACTTAAAAGTTGGATAGTTTTACTAGTATTATGCAGTAAAAATTAGAATTATAAAAATTCCTTAAGCTGATTTTTTAATTTTGGGACCGAGGATGGAATATGATTTTTCGAATCGATGCGCACCCCTCCTACTTTATGACCCCTGCTAGTAATGGCAATACTATGGAATTCGACGGATATGAATCTTATTATTTCAAGATACTRCACGTTCCTGTAATAATCTGTGTCGAATCTCTCTAAAAATAATTGACGCCTTCTTTTACTCTACCGGCCTGCACTGACGTCTATATGATAATACGAATACTTAAATAAGAGGAGACAGAGAATTGCAGGATAGGGTTCTKATTTCTGATTTCGAACCTTCGCGGACAGCGAGAACGATTTCTAGTTCGATGCCCTGGTACCGACGGTACCAGAAAGAGGCTGCCATAGAGTTACACTAGCTGGTGGCCTAAATTTGGCACAGTACAGAACAGAATTTTTCAATGTGGAATCCAACGAAACAACATCTTCTACCGGTACATCTTCCCGCGCTCCACGTGATCACAAGATTAATATCGTTTTTAGTCTTGTACTCTATGCCACAGATTCACGACGCTTATCTGTTATATTACTTGTGACAGCTGCATACCGGTAATGCATTGATTATTAAATTTTCTTCTCAACTCAAGGTCTATCACAAACGAACAAATTTCTACCATGCCGCTCTTTCGACGTTTCCGGAAGAAGATGGGCCTCGACGAGTCTTCTGGCGAGGAGTGCGAGGATGCTAGTGCCGGAGACCTTTCCTACGTCGGAACCGCTGCCTATAACGTCCTGCGACGAAAACACAATCATCGGCACCACGAACTATGGAATGTGACGAAAGGGAAAGTAATCCGCTTGGACAATACACCCCGAGATGCTTTCAGCCGCGATGACCGAGTCGATCCAGTGGAAGGCCACGATGACTGGCTCCCAAAACGATTGGAAGAACTCATTTCGAAAACGGAAGAATGGTGTGACATACTCACGCTCGGGCCTCCAGATGGCATGTTTTTAGATGCATTCAAAAACGGTATCAAGGCTCTTTGCGAAAAAGAATTTATACTAAATCGTATCGTTGTGCGCATCATGTTTGGTAACATTGTTGGTCAGCCTGTAAATTGTACGAAAATTATTGCAGATTTGGTCAAGGACTTACCTCCAAATGCAGGAGACAAAATCAAGCTTTGGGTAGGCAGTTGGCGCAAAGGTGTCACCTGGAATCACTCCAAGATCATTGCTGTCGACGGCAAATATCTCTGGACAGGTGGACATAATTTTTGGGATCGACATTATCTCCGCAAGAAGTAAGCGAAACGAATATGAAAAGGTAGAATTTATTGAAGGTGGCAGCATGTCGCATTATTTGGAGATCGTTTTGATGCAGTTCTGTCGCTTTTGCTAACACGTATTGTTGTTGATCTTGCTCTGAAGTCCTGTGAACGACATTTCAGTTGAGATGAAAGGAAATGTTGCTCGAGACGGCCATCGATATGCCAATGCTCAGTGGGCATATATTGTGAAGAAACAGAGCACGGCCTGGGGTAGATTTGTTGACAGACATGTCGCCGATTGCGTCGATGTACCCCGTACCGCACGTGTCACTGTTTCTGAATTCCCCGAAGGATCTGCAGCGGAGTTCCCACCGCTTTACAACCCCAAAAATTCCTTACTTCAGGAGACTCGATTGTTCCGTGGTCCCAGTTCAAAGTCTAACATAAGCGATCCCGGTGCCCCCGTCATAACCATGGGAAGATACGGAACAATATTGAAGAATGCGCGTCCCTCCGATGATGCATTCATCGCAATGTTCAAATCTGCGAAGACGACTATTCGTTGTGCTTTGCAAGATATAGGTCCAATTTGTGTTCCTAAAACCAAAATGACGGTACCAGGTGCGTGCATTGCGTTTTTTTGATACTTTCAATCTGTTCCCACATTTTTGAAAGGCTGCATCAAGGGTGATTGCTAATTTCTTCTCGTCATTCCACCATTCCAATTCAACAATCAATCTCTGCTATTTATTCCTCCACATGAATAGGTATGGTTTGGCCAAAAGCATACATGAATGCGATGGCGGAAGCTTTGTGGACCAAGGATGTCGATGTTGAGATAGTTCTTAGCAACCCGGGAAGCATTCCCGACAACTTAAGTTTAACAGAAGCACAGTATGGAAATGGGTGGTAAGATCATGTCTCATGGAATGCATATCGATAATCTCGTAACCAGACGATTTCAGTTTTCAATTTTTGGGATTAATTTTGGTTGATTCTTCTAACAGATATCGTCGYCCACAATTCCATCCCTTTTTTATCTTGACATCAACTCGAAAAGGTCTTGTGTCGATGTCGCAGCTGAGATCATCAAGTGTATTGTAGAGCAATTCCCGGATGCCAATGACAATCATACGAAATTGAGACGCACTGTCAAAGAAAATCTTCGAGTATGTTTTTTAAAATGCAGGCGTGGGGGTTCTCGTTATTCCGATGGTAGTTCGCTTGGACTCCACAGCAAGCATTTCATTATAGATGACATTTGCTGTTATATTGGATCTCAGAACCTTTATATTTGTGATCTTGCAGAATGGGGTGTCCTTATCGACTCGCCTGATGCTGTAGCAGATATCAAGCAACAGTATTGGGATCAAATGTGGGAAGTGTCATATACCAGGGATGACTGCAACGTGAACGAAGTGATGGATGGGCTCGGTATCAATCGAAATGCCGTCAGCAGAATGTCTTTGACGGCGTACGAGCTCCAACAAACCAAGGCTGTGATGAAAGCRAACTTCAAAGATTATCTCGATGGGTCGGAAAGTGACCAGAGCGATGCAGAGGATGAAAAGGAAGACGAGTAAAGTGAAAGGAATGCACTATGGCTTTGTGAAGAAAGTAACGAACGACGTTCATATCTGTTTTGTTTGATGAATAAAGTGAAGGASGGCATAGTTGGAATATTAAAACTCCGTAGTCTTAAATGTATGTGACACACGAAGACATATATTACATATTTGTTCACGACTATTTGTATTTGAATAAATAGTGTTGTAGTTCCATTGTTATCGGGATTGAATTAGACTTTTTTTTTAGAACGTCTGATGTGCGTAATTTAACATTTTGAGGTTGAAGAAAAGTCAGACTTTATTTCGAAGATGTTGCATACGGTGATTCCTCTCCTGACCCAATTTCACATCAACGTCTGGACAGGTGCCAATTCTTAGTTTCATCGGGTGTTCTTCCAAGTACTCAAATCTTTTCAGGATGGGAAACGTTTCCCCTTTATGTTGGTGCCATCCTTTTGCAGTCATCGGTTTACGGTGGATACCTTAATGGTACTGACTGAAATTCGTTTGATATATTCTCAAACAGCTCACTTAACTCCTGTCCTTGTAGTGCCAGGTAGATCCCTTATTATTAAGATTTTCAACGACACAAGTCCACATTAGAATGCGMCCATTTGCCAGTTTCGCATTTACAACGCTACACTAGKGGTAGCTACTTCGCCAAGAAGAGGAGCTTCATACGAAACAACTCTGAATTTATCATCCAGATTGAAAACATCAGTAAATTGTGCTGTGTTATACTATCTCTTCTGACTGGTGGTGGTGCCGAAAGCMAATATCTTGATGTGGAGTTGAAAGGATATTAGTGACACAAGAGTCAACGACTCTATCCTTTAACTGTTKWTATTGCTGTTGTTCAATGATCGAAGAAAGAGTACYGTAGTGCTACTATTTGAATGGGAGTKCCCACAGTACGTGTACTCCTATTTCTTCCAGCCGATGGTCGTCGGTCGCAACTTGCAATAAGAAAGCAGCCACGCTTGTACTGTACGGGTATTCATAAAAAGTATTATTACGTATGGTACTTCGTAGTAGAAGTATTTCCTAAAATCAGCTCACCCGGCGCGGAAAAGGAGGGGATGAAATAGTTTCGAATTTTAAAAATTCAACTCAAAATTGAAAATGCCACCACTTCGAGGCTTCAACGTCTCACGGTAAGTACGGGTACGTTACTCCACATTTGGTACAGTACATCGCCTAAGCGAAACGAAAAGGAATGCAGTGATATTAGCGGACGCGCCCACAAAAATAGCTCTGTACTGGAATTACTTCTCTTTCTGTTTATTATCGGTACATCAACGAYAGAGCTCCCGTAGAACGAACACTTCTAAGATTTCCCCAGGCACATTCGGTAATGAATGACGACGATCATCAGGAAGAAGGCTCGGGAGAAGCSGATGACGGTTCGGAAGTCGATGCTGACGATACCGCTGATGAAGAAGACCAAGGCGACGAAGCTACAGGTGGTGGAGACATCGGAAATGCCTCTGGATCTGTTCTACCGATACAGGCCGTCTCAAACTTGGATACTTTGTATGGACTGCGAGAAATAGGGAAGGAGGCTCTTTGTTGGCAGCTTAGCTCGGCGAAGCCAGGGAATGGTGTCGAACAAATAAGGGACCAAAGCACCGATACGTACTGGCAAAGTGACGGCGTCTCRCAACCGCACCTTATCCAAGTTCATTTTGCTCGAAGAGTCGCCATATCACACATATGCTTGTACCTCGATTTCAACTTAGGTGCGTTTCCAATGGGAAACACGATTTTCTAGGTTATTGTAGGTTGTTTCGAAACTCACTATTTATTTTATTGTGGCATAAAAATGGAATTACGTACGTGAAAAATCTTGGATGACGTTAGATGAGTAAGTTTGCTTCACTCGATGGTCGCACATTCATTTTATCATCCGGCCATTATTTCTTGCTTAACTCTTTTCCTCGAATCTCTCCAAGAACAGAAGTTACACGCCGAAAAATATATCAGTACAGGTAGGAATGACGACACAAGACCTGGTCCCTGCCATATATGCAGCATCCGTTGTGGAGCTGAACGAACCCGTTGGATGGTGTATAATTCCTTTGACGTCCCCTCCCGATCCATTAGATGACATAGCAGAAGATGTGACAGAATCTGGGGCACCACCTAGGTCAAAACGAATCGTKCGAACTCACCTTGTTCAAATCGAGATTTGTTCGATGCATCAAAATGGTCGAGACACCCACGTGAGACAAGGTAAGCATRATGAATCGTGTTTTTCTCTAGTTCTTGAGCTTTTCTTCTTTATCTTGGTAATGGATTGGGATGGACAGGATAAACTTTTAGAGATGGTATATTTTCTCAATCGCTAACCAACTGCTCTGGTTCCCTAATGGTTCTGTTTTCGTGGAAAAAATGTTAYTTTGTCTCGATAAGTCCAATTGTATGGCCCCAGGACTACAATGAGTACATTGCAAACTGAACCTTCAAACGATATAATTAGCAGTGCTGCAGAAATCAAGAAAAGGAACAGAGATGATGAATTCTCTACAATCTCGATGTCGCAGTTCTCTGTTTTGCGGTGAATGAATTCCGTGATACACTGGATCTAGACCTGAACGTTTTCAAAATTGATGGGCATTGATGAAATATATAGACTTCAATGGAATTTCCAGCTAATCGAGTCTATCTAATGACGTCACCAACTACTGAGTCACTTTCTRCTCATTTTGTTTCATTAACTTTCAGTATCTGGTTTTAATAAGTCCCTTTCGTCTCCCTTCTGGCAATCAGTTCAATCTTCCATTGTGCGAATCCGAAACGGTTATAGGCGCAAAGTTGATTGTACAAATTAGTCCGTCCTTCTAGATAAAGACCCACAGATTTGTTGGTACATGTCGTCTCATCTTCCAATTGGTTCTTTGGTTTTCTCCCCCCTTATCTTTTTTTTAGTTGCATATTCTAAAAATCATTAAAAAAGTAATGCCCTGCTGGTAGGTAGGTAGTCTTTTGTCAGATTTCTTTGAATCCTTTGTTGTAACTTTGCTACTAYTGGGTTAAAAATTGACAGGGACTGATTGCTATAACTTCTGGTACAATCAATTTTAGAGTACTACCACCAGTTGCTAGTAGTACTAGTAGTACAAGTTGTGAGGCAGTGCCACCACATAGTAAATCATGAGTAGATAGCGAGTGACAGCACTAACAGACTCATCCACTCACTCTTTATTGTAAACACCATATAATACAACACTAAAGAGCATGATATGTACATTTTGCAGGTTGTGAGCAACAATAGACCAAAAACCAATGTATCAATATACTATATCATATGAATTTTATTCCCACGTGCTACTACTACTTTCAATAATTAAAATATTAAAGTATTAATGTAGTGGTACAGTATATATTAATTCTAATCTGTTGAAAAATTGTGATAAAGAAATCCATCAATTTTGTGATCAGAACCGATCACACAATGAAAAAGGGAGACTGGAGAATTTAAATTTTCACAAAAACATCAAAATTGACATGGTTCCTGCTGGGCCCTCCAGAACTAACACGCGTGCGTCCCCCCTTTGAAATCGAACATCGGGGGCATGATTTCGTGGGTTCTTTTTCCTATGAAATAACCCACGTTTTAAAACGTGGGTTATTTTTCACAAAAAATAACCCATGTTTTAAAACGTGGCTTCCTGGGTTCCTGGGTTAACCCACGAATAACCCATGMAATAACCCACAAATAACCCATGAATAACCCACGAACTTGCTGGGCCTATTTTCAAAAATTAACAAGAACAAAGATTAAATAACGTTAATGACTGAAATACTTAACATCCTTGATTCTCTATCAACCCAGATGACTGTAAATTCGTGGGTTATTTGTGGGTTATTCATGKGTTCGTGGGTTCTCTGTTTTTTTTYCATTGAATAACCCATGTTTTTAATAACCCACGTTTTTCTAGGGGAGGAATTCGAAAAGGGGGATGCGCTCGTGGGTACTGGAGGGTCTTGTAGATGAAATTCTGGAAACTTAATGACTGGAACAACTCGTGACTCGCTCATCATACATTACGGTACTTGCGGGGTAAACCAACGAAAAATCCGACAATTCAAGTCGTAGAAACTTGATCCGGCCGAATGTAAAAGCAAGAACTTCGTATGGTGTGATGAACACAACCGGATCTTCACAAACGGCATGAGTAGGATTACAACACTGTGATGATTCCTAACGGTTCTGACGACGAAATAGCAGCAAAGAGTGGTAAGGGGCGATATTGTCGTTATTATCAGCAATTGGGAGCCCCGACTCTCATTTACGAAGGAAGTCGAAGAGATAATCGCCGTTTCCATGTTGAATCATCAAAATTGCCGCTTGATAATTCAAGAGAATTGCACGAAACGTTGAAGAGAAGCAACCGCGTGAAGGCGCGTTGGCAATTTTCCCTTGACGTAAACCAAATTGATTCTATCTCGATTCCAGGCTATGGAAGAGGAAGAAGAAAGTATGGATCAGCAAAACTGAAAACCAACTACGAAGATGGGAGCGGCTCTTCCGGAAGCGAGACGGAGGGGRAAATGATTCAACGGCTGGACAAGAAACGACAACAAAATCGCCTCGCGATGTTATTAGAGGACGACGCAGYCATGGCAAGACATCGAAAGTGTCTCGAGGATCATGCAAAATTCGAACATCCATACATGAAAGCTAATTTCAATCGCGTTGGCGGAACGAAGGAGCCGAGAATTAAGCCGTCAACTTACTTGAAGAGTCAAAAATTCAGCGTCACGCAAAGGATRAATGCAAATCCTTCATATCTGGCTCCATTTGATTTGGATTGYATAGATRAAGCCAACAGTGGTCACGACACAGAGAAGAATCTAAAAGGAAGATCAACGGCCTTTCGAAGAAAGATCGCATCAAATACTTGTGATGGACCTCCCCAAGGAAATGCCCTCTTGAGTGTTCCATGCCCGTGTGATTCTTGCTCAAAGGGTACAAAAMGCTATATGTTATTGCATCCAAAGGGCGGTTGTTTGGAGCGATTATGTGTTAGTAGTGTAGTTCTTCCTCTCGACCGACGGAATATTGGTGATATCGACACCGCAATAATAAAACACAGAACGAGTATGGACCAATCTCAAGAAAATTTCTCCACCTCTGAAGTGGGTGAGATATGTTTGGGCGACACGATTCTAGAAATAAAACAATGCGGTGTATGGGGTGCTGAAAATCAAATATGTATATTTGCTATCAGGACAGGGACTCATATAAGTGTTGTAAACATTAAATGCAAGAGACTCAACTTGGAAGCGGAACAAGAACAAGACTCTGAATTATCGAGGTGTTGTGGGTGGTATACTCTGAAAGAAATGGAACGATTAGATCTAAGATCTTTTTCCYCCAAAATACCATCTTTTCGACCAGTGTCGCTTGCGTCACACCCAAAATACGGCAGTGCCTTCACTCCTTCCAGGTTTGCTTTTGCAAGTCACTCAGAAGGGAGCTCCGGTTCATCATCTTACAATGTTGTTCACAGCTGCACTTTCGGAACAGAAAGAACCATAACAAATCGACACGACATCAATAACCTTAGAAGCATCTCTTTCATTGATTTCAGCAATCGAAATCCCATGTGTTTATGGTCAGCAGCATCCTCGTACGTTCGCCCAGCACTAGCACTTGGACCTGTTTCCAAAGTTACCCGTCAGGCAAAAGCTCCATTTGGGCTTGGTAGCTCCTTGTTTATGATTGATTTGCGAAGCAATTCTGCGGTCTTTCAGTGGAGCCCAAGTGCAGAGGAAATGATGACAGAGGGTGTTCATTCTATWAATGGAATATCGACGGATTGGACTCRGGAAAACACTGTGTTTGTAACTTCTACATCTGCTGGAAAAACATGGGAAATCGATGGTAGAATGCCTTGTCGAGCAGTTAACGCGTGGTCCCTGACCAGTATATGTGAAGAGTATAGAGCTATAACTCTACCCAAAAAGGCATTTTATGGTGAGGCGAGTCTACTCACGAGACCCCTGACACAATTTGGTAGCTCTGATCTACCTCTCCTAAAGGTAGATACAGACTTGAGAGCRACTGGAATCCATCTATTCCAAAAGCCTGTACGAAAGCCAAGGTTTCAAACCGATAGCTTAGAATGTATCGGGACGGCAGGGCTAGACGTAACCGAGACAGCTAGTATTGCTACAAGTTCTTTTTTTGACTTGACAGGTGTTTCTGACGACACTTTCACATGTGGTATTTCAAGCATACGGGTACCACTTAGTCTATACGTAGATGCAGATGAGAATATTTGGCCTCAGTAYCTCAAAGAAAACTTGAATGTTTTGAGCACCATGACCATCGACAACAACGGTGACATCTACTCCCATTCATTGCTAGAATGCAACGATAAGGTGGAACTCCCCGATGAATGCCGCCGCTTCGACGGCTTACCAATTGGAACGAGAGCAATCAATATTCCCAAAAAAATTGATGGTAGAACGAAATTCTTATTGAATGGCCACTGGAAACAAACTKGTGGGATGAACCTAAACCTATTCTTGAGCAATGTTTACCCAGTCTGTCGCAATGCGATACTTTCGAATGGCGACGACGCTGGCGACATCAACGGTCACGATGTCGGTAATAGTAACAAGATTCTTCTGAATACTTCGAAGAAGAAAAAAATYGACGAGGGCAATGCTGTTGTCCAAATAACCAAGAAGCCACGTAAGACCGGCTTGATTATACGTACTGAAGATAACAATGGAAATTGCAATGGTATGATAGAACCGGGCGGAGATGATCGCACTTTAATAATGCCGCTTTCTCACTCAAAGGGAATAGAAAGCAAAACTGTTGTCTATCCAGCGAGCAACAATAGCAATGATAGCGATGGTAGCGATGGGACTGTCGTAATAGGAATGGATGGAAATGGAAGTAAAAGTAGATCAGATCTTTCAAAGGACATCATAAAAAAYACTTTGGATACGTGGGAGGATACAGCATCAGAACAGGACTCACTAGATGAGAAGGATTGCATTTCTTACTAAGCTATGGGATTGCGASAGAAAACCATATTTGTTTTACTAGGAATAAYTTTGTCAACTGACTTCATTTCTATTTGACATTTGCACCTGTCTAGACCCACAATAATAACAGTACAGGAGCTCAGTGCACACGTGGTGCACAGGGATGATGGTTGGTTGGAAAGTGTCATTTCATGCATCCCTACCATTAAGCAGATATGTATTGCCTGATARATGTTCGGGCTTGCATGAAATATTGAGACACGTAGCTGCCAATTCGACAGCTCTCTTAACGTGTTCAATCGAATATCGATTGTCCAATCCTAGAACGTACTGTAAGAGTTCCAGTCGTAAACATGGACTGTGCATCCGACTAATCATTTCGTCGATAGCAAGAAGGAACCGCATGTTATTGAAATCTGTWTGCTCCACTGCTTGGTGAAGCTGTCTTGCAAAACTTTTTCTATTTGTGATGGCCTTGCCACTAACAAAGGCCATAAAACGAGAATCCTGATCAACGGCAATTTCAAGATCGTCCTGAGCTGCTCTTTGATCACGCCAGGATGCAAGTCGAAACGCAATATTTTGTTCGCCGTGTTCAACCCATTCTTCGACGGCTTCCCAAGACTCTTTGGTTCGTTTCTTGGCACCTCCATCTTGCATTGCCCTCAAAATTTGGGCCGCTCCAAGAACAGCCAAGAGACCATCAGAGTTGGTTGCCGATCGTAGACGATCAGTATCCAGTGGCGGTGGAGGAGGCCTGGGGATGYTACCTTTGCTGATCTGATGTAAGGTTGCTTCGTCTCCTTCTCCACTGTAATCCAATAGCATAGCTTCTGAATCCAATTGTGACTTRTGCTCATCATTGTCTTCATCATCACTCGAGGCATTCGCATTCGCTTTTCGGCTCGTGATTGCTGGTACTGTAGGCACGTGATGGTCTTCTGAAGACACCAAAGAATACAAAATAAGGAGCTGCCTGGAGGTGTAATAATCTGATGCTCTAACTGTAACAAAATGAGATTGAATCGGTAGTCAATGAAAACGAAATTAGTTCAACGAGCTCAAAGAAGGAGACATTTCAAGCTCCAAWTCGTCATTGTATGATATCACGATGGAGGGAGGGGGTTATACCAAAACGATTGKCTTTTACCTACCGGAAGCTGCYAATCCCTCGTTCACAATATCTTGCAACTCGTGGCGCTCTTTGTAGCCTTCTCCATTATGCTCCCCGACGCTTCTATACTGTTTATCCTGAATCATGGCATCTCTCAATATCTGAGCCACGCTATCATCCGTAGCACCGAAGCCACCTGCAATACGAGCAAGTTCGTCCGTGGTAAGTGTTTCTCGCATTTTCTCATCGAGATCAATTAACTCCTCGAGTTTAGTTTGCATACAATTCGGATCCGTGTCATCAATCTTCGTCTTGTGGGCGATTAGAGAGTTTTGAAACGGATTCAGATGGCGAGCGGCTACTTTTAGCAGCTCGTGCTGAAGCTTTTCAGTCAATACACGAACCGACAAATCCGGCGTTATCATCAAGAGCGGCAATCCCTTCATGTGGTTCTCTCCAAATGCGTGCAAAAGACGGGCTCGCGCACGAAGCAAGGAAAAAAGATGCCCGAATGATGCTGTCCTACAAAAGATTGCGACTGGCAATCCAACGCCTTTTTCGAACGACCGTTCTTCGTTCGACATAGATGCTCCATCCGGACTTCTTCGCCCTCGTCCTCCTACTCTCAAAAACACTTCATTGTAAGGAACGGTTTTGAGGCCACCCTTGATGACACGGCCTCCAACTACGTACTCACTCTTGTTCACGTAGTCGTCATTCAACATTCTAAGTCTGGACAGTGGCACCAGTGCTTCTTCTCTTCCGTTGATAAGGTTTCCTCGTTCATCAATGTTGAATTCGGTCTTGGCCGAATATCCCGAAGGCCAACTCCACGTGTGGCTAGTTTTTACGGCCTCGTCTTCTAGTTCATCATTGTCGTAGCTGGGAATCGCAAAAACGCACCCTATCGTATAGCTTGACGTTGAACCAAACGCGCGCATCTTCTTTCCTCCACTYGGTAGCAATGTAGTCGATGTAAAAAAGCTGTTGTAAGGAAAGTCACCGGAAGTTGATGCATCGCAATCATCACTTCCACRGTGTGGTCCGATGTCATCTCGTTTGTTCCGGAATTGTTCGCCATGGCGCGGAGGCTTCGATGTCTTGAACCGATTCAAAAACACAGTCCATTCGGTGTTTTTAATAGTCTTGATAGTAGCGCGTTGATCCATTATAATGCGATGTACTTCCTTTTCGCTCTCTGTCCAGTACTGTTCTTGYTTGCTTTCTTCCGAAAAGATRAGTGGTTCAAACTCATCATTTCTTCCGAGTTGCAATCGAGGCAAAGGAACTACCTGTGGCTGAAATCCTTTGATATCTACGGAGTAAGCATTATTTCTGTGAATCATTTCGTCCAGTACCAGCGACTCTGAAGGTTGCGACGATTCCTTTGGATCAAGACTGTTGGAAGCACCATCGTCATCAGTGGCATATTCGCTATCGGCTCTGGCTCGCCCGGAATCTGTATCCGAGAGGAGAGCCGAAAACCYGATACCATTGCTGGATGCGGGCTCTGGAACCGAGTCCAACAGCACAGAGGTGGCTTGCTCTTTCACCGTACTGGCAACCCTATGAACATGATCGCGAAAGACAATGGAACGTGCACTCTCATGGTATACCAGGACGGGCGGTGGCAAAGGGGCAGCGGGATTCCTTTTGTGCTTTTGCTTCAATCCACCTGGATATGAAGACAACGAAGCCGATCTGCTGCGATGGGGTTGAGTGGAAGAACTCCAGGTACTGCTCGCTTGGCTGCTGTTTTCGTCCGAATGCCAATGATCGCCATGGTTGGAGGACATATCCGAGGAAACCGAGCAAGATCCATGGCAGGGCTGTTTGGAGGATCCGTGTATTTCGTTCTCCACAGATTGTTGACTAAAACTCACTTTCACCATCTTGTTGTCTTATGTCGAATCTCCCTTTGGAACGAGAGTAGTGACCAAGTAATTTCTAGTAGAGCTCTTTGGCACTCGCAGTTGAAGTTCTCCTCGGGTTTCCTCGGGTTCCACGGCGCACACGATTACGAGTACCAGTGCTTCCTCTGCGAGATTGCTCAATCGGTGGATCACAAACGAGAGCTCGTGTTCCCCCGTGAATCAAATCAATCATCAACCTCTAAAARCTTGGTWTCTGCGGTACGATATCTGGTGCGTACGGTAGGATACTAGTTGCTCAATAATACTGTTGTTACAGTATTGGAACYGCTTGTACTGCTTGCATAGCAAAGYATTCCAAAATCCTTCTTCGCCCCTCTCCGATTTTGTGAATCACGTTTTTCTGTAAGACATCAGATCGACCCGTGTCGTAACGTGCGTACAGGATACTTACCATCTGCTTTTTTTTCTTAAGCGTCCAATGCCKTGGTCGCGAATGAAGAACTATTCATACTTATCAGATTCCTTTTCAGAGTGCGTGGAACAGCATCACAGTCCTCAAAGCTCTTTCGGCAAAAGATGGCGCCCATCACAATCTTTCGATTCATATGTTTTGTATGTCATTATCTATCAKTGGTCTTGSTCWTTTAMGTCTGTMCTTCGCMACGTTACAACGTCGGTTTCCAAACCTCACAAACCTSTTTAAATTCATGTCTCACAAATTTCGTTTGCTTCATCTTTTTCGGAAAACACGAGSTTGTCGACAACGATGGTTGCATTGCCGGGTGCTGTRCAACACGACAGAGCGGGATCRCCGTATTTTGCAGCAAGGWCTTTTTGTGGCTAATATTCCAGGAGAGGAATTGGSAGTTCTGCCTTTCGTGGTTYWCAACATGAAGCAACATAATGCTGCGACAAAAGACGGACGAAACTGCTGGGGCAGTGCTCGGGAACGAGAGCGCATGAAAGCTCGTTTCAATATCCGGCAAAGAGTAAACCATTCGAATGCAGTGGTGGGTCCATCGGTGTCGAAACCGTTGCCGGCCGGAGACGTTTTGAACACGGAATATAGCCACGAAGTCATATCCAAGTATCTGTCGTACATACTTCGAGGGGATAAATCTAAGTTTTCGACGACGTTTATGGATCGGCACTTTGGCRTCATTTATGCCCAGCATTCCATTCGATGTCACATCCTCGAGAATCMAGACACACTAAGCAAGTCCCTCAAGGTAGCAAAAAAACTACGGGGACCCAGCTATGTTCAGGCTCTGTCGCAGCACATGGAATCCGTATCGACTTTTACGTTTATGGAATACGCCGTTTGGATGGGGAAGTACAGCATTGTTTCGGGGATGCTGCACGGTGGTATCAATCCGTGTGTGCGTGGAAGTGCCATCGTTTTTGGGTCTGTTCCAAGATCTGGTCTCAAGAAACAGGACCAACTGCTGCTGCGGCAACGGCAACAATTGACAGTGATCGGATCGAGAGTCTTGAAACGGTTTTTTGATTGCTTCCCATTGCGCCTTTCAACCTATATTGTAAAGCGAGTCGTGGATATGAGGATAGTCGCTCGGGTAGATTCGCATTGGCAAAGAACGAACGAAAATTGTAGCCTAAATGCCAAAGATGTTGAATTTATTATTTGCAATAAAATGGAAGCAGAAAAATCACACAAGGACGCAGCTACGTTTCGTTGTCCGATTTGCTGCGACCAGATATCCAATGAGTTCAAACTGCAGTTTGGTCGTTGCAAACACGTCTTTTGCGAAATGTGCTTCTGGAATGATCTCATGGTACACATCGATAGCCCAGAAAAATGTGGTGGCACAGACGTAATCTCGTGCSTCGCRTGCGGAGAAATTGAGACTCGCGAAGACGCCCTTCTGCAGACAGACAGCAATACTCGTTTTCTGCACGAAGACATTTCGGATCTTTCTCCCATCGAAAAATACAAATTGTCAATGGAGCGATTGCATCGACTGCCAGTAGACCAACACGAACTGAAGAAAAGAACGTCGAAAAAGAAGAGACTCTCCGAAGAGGATTATGTTGCCTCGAATTGGCTCGATGCGGTATTTCCGTCCTTGGGTTCGACACAAGACATACGAAAAGACAAATTCATGCTTCACGTGGAACGAAATGCGATCACCTATGTCAAGGGATGCCTTCTTTCGGGCGTCGATGTGAACCAAGTGAACGAGTACGGCCAGTCGGCTGTTTACCTTGCGGCTTGGCGGGGATACGAAGAGTTGGTGGCATTGCTGCTTGGATTCGGAGCCGATCCTTGTATACCCGCCAATGGGGGATCGACCGTGCGTGGTCTCTGTTCCGCCGGTTCCTGCCGAAAAAATACAASGGTACTCGAGCTGTTGGATCAATACGAGAGCGCTCCTGCGGCRGGAACCATTCGGATCGGTTGCGACGCGAGGGACAGTGCCGATACCCAACGGATGCACCACCTTCCAACGAACAACCCGATGTCACTTCTTGCCGATGGTGGGATTCTTCCAAACCACCCTAGACGCAGCATATTGATTCCCTCATCGTCCGACCATCCGGGAGCGGGGTCTTGCTTTATTGACGAAGCTATTTCATCGGAGACCACYGATGCATTGCTAGACCTGTTCCGTTCCCTCCCCRTAGATACGAATCAAAAGSAAAAGAAAAACTCTGCTCCTTGCTCGGACCGATCCTATTATTGCGACACCGAGGGTTSGTTGCGGTTGTTGCTCGGCAACGCCGTCGTAAGGGGCGGACTGGCATCTACCACGGAATCCCTAGAATGYGTGACCGATACCAACCACTCTGCAGCCGACAACAATGGCCAGGAATCCCCGTCGCTGGTTCGGGTCTTTCCGCACATGCGTTTTCTGCACTATTCCCKGCCCGGCACAGTTCTGCCCCCGCACATTGACCTCTGCCGCGTGAATCCGTTTTGTCGCCCCTCCGACAAGCAGAATCCGAGATACCGGAGCACGCACACGTTCATTCTGTACCTGACAGACTGCTTGAGCGGTGGCGAGACCGCGTTGCTGGAGGAGGTCACCGCCGACGGCAGCTCGCCCTCACTCGCCGTGGTATCGCCAAGGCGGGGACGCCTGTTGGTATTTCCGCACGTAACACCGCACGAGGGCATGGAAGTGGGCAATGTTCCAAAGATTTTGCTGCGGGGAGAACTCCAAATTCATGGTACTTAGGAACACAAACGAAACCGGGATGGTCTTTCGCAGTTCTCCACTGCAAGAATTGTCATATTGCCTATGTAAGGTAGGCAAACAAGCAATACTAGTAGCCTCTAAGAACTATAAGCAGCACTGGTAGCAGCTAGATACAAAGTACACATCCCCTTGGAAAATATTGATTACATTACTGCTGGYGTGTTCTASAGGATCCCCACTTGTTATTTTTTCTATTGCGTTGTATTAAAGTAATGAGACAAAGTAATAGGTGTTCTTGTGACAGATTTTAACAACAGAAATTCAACCCTGGATGGAATGGAGTCGGGCCATGGACAACAGTTTTGAGGTGGAGKTGTGAATCGGGGGGATTTTGGTGTCTTCTCAAAGACCCTTGTAGAAATTGTCTTAGTTCCGTCCTGCCTCTCTTTCTACCGTACCGTACGAACGAGCACAACTTGTACCAACGTAAACAACTACTACTACTATCACGACGTTCTCGTGCCGTAGCTTTGAAAAAAGATCTTTTTTCGTACGGCACATGGTACGAGTACAATACGAGCAGTTAGGATAGAGGATTTCGGATTTTGAGTTCTGCTTTTCATTTTGAGCTATCGATACCGACATCGATCGTAATATCGATATGGATCGCAATATCGATGGCGATATGGATCGCGGTGGTGAGAACGATAGTGATCGCAATGACGACGACGAGGGCGACGACGATGATGAGGACAACTGGAGCCGGCAGGTAGAAACGGATGAGATCCTGCAGCGAGTGCCCTCCTCGGTGACCGGGGGAGAGACGGCCACGACCGACGGTGACGAGCACCACCACCACCACCACCATAGTGAGGGGGACGCACTCCTCCCCCAGCCGCGGCCGCAGCCGACGATGAAGGAGAAGCTGGTGGAGCGAGAACGCCAACGACGGGTTGAGTCCGAGCGGGCCCGCTGGAAGCGGCAGTTTGCAATGGCGGCCCACGCGGAGTTGGAGCAGGAAAGGGAGGAGCACCCGGGAGGTTCGGGGAGCGGGGGGGAAAGCCCCCGGGGGRGCGCTTCCGTTTCTGGAGAACGCCCGACGGAAGATCCCGATCGCTCCTTCGCCAAGGGCCCCAACAGCGTGGCCGGAACGGTGGGGGAGGACACAGTAGCACCAATCGAGACGCTTGAGGAGGAAGCAGAGGCCGCAAACATGAACTACCCGATGGAGCGTTTTCTCAAGGAGCAGCAGCAGGGAAAGGGGATGBAGCACCACGGAGGCGGCGGAAGCATCGACATCGGAGGTGAGAATCCGTTGCTCGGAAACCAACAGGAAGCGACGAGCCAGGTGGTCATGGAAAGATTCCTGCAGGAACCGCCCTCTGCCGCGGCGGGTCCCTACGGAGGGGGGATCGCCGGAAGCTCTCCACCGTCATCGCCGGCGGCCACGCAGCGCATGGGCGATGCCCTTGTCGATGCTGCCATCCCGGCCCACCACGGGATCGGCGAAGCCTCTTCCGAAGATGCTCTGGTGGTCGAGCCGATGCCCGGAGACCACCCCTTCCAGAGTCCCTCCCAACAACCGCGGGTCGTCCTCAGGCTAACCGAGGCGGAGATCCAGGAAATGGCCGCCATCGACGACGCCAGTCGTTCCAATGCCCCCCCATCCGAGCGGGACGACATGTCGGAGCTGGGAGAACTGGTGTCCGGCTTCGGTCTGGTTCACCTCGACAACCAGAACATGTCCCARGGCACCCCGGTCACGGCAATGGAATCCGTCACCTCTTCCATGGGAAACCCCGTCTTGGACGGGTCCTCCTCCGGCCACGGCGGAATCGACGGAATCGAGGGCCATTCAGTGTCTTCGAACGTCGTGGCCTCCAGTGCCGGAGGCGACGTCAGCCTAACGGGGAATCCACCCAGCGACATTGCAAGGGACGACGACGATGATGACGACGACGATGCAACCAGAGGAATGTGTTCACCCCGGTCCCCCCGGGTTCCCACCGAGATTCTCCCCGGGCCGCATCCGAGCGTCGGCAGACCGATGCCCTCGCTGGTAACGAGTCCCGTTGCCGGTGCCACCGAACCACTCCCCGGTGCCCGGCTTGGATTGATCGCCCCGGACGAAACCATCGTCAACCGCAGGGTGCGCCCGGGCATGTTCGGCTACAAGGAGCCACAGCACCGGCAGCACCATCAGCAAGAGGGTCCGRTTGCACTCAAGAGCCGACCCGAAGCACCCCTTTCCACCCCGGAGAAGATACCGGCAACCCGCGGCGAAACCGACAACAAAAACATCGACGGGTTCGACTTTGACAAGGACAGCTATTCTCCTTCCATCGGCAACGGGCAGAACGGTGTTGTCCTGGTTCGGAACGAGATGTGGTCTCCYGGATTGTCTACGGATTGCGGCGGCGGGGCCATCGCCGTCGACGACGGCYTCGATGACAGCGAAGACGATGACCACCGCCACACGATTCCGAGCTACGGTGCCGCACCAGGGGCCCATGGCAATGACCATGGCATCGAAAGCCAGCGATTCGGGTCCGGTGACGGCGGTGGCGAGGCCAGGCCCCTGCTGAAGGGCATCCTACCTGTAGTGGACGTCCCGGTTCAACAGTCCCGGCGGTTTTCCTGGAACTCGTTCCGGTCAATCCGGAACACCGACGACCTCAACTCGCTCGCCGAGAGCCTTTTTAGCGACATCCGGTCCGAGAGCACCGCGACCCGGATGTCCATATCCAACGAGGCCGAGGACTACCTGGCGTGCTCGGTCTTTCAGCGGGCCTTTCCCGAGCGTATGTTTGCCCTCACGGTTACCCTCGTTTTTGAGATGCCCACCCTCTTTATGATATCGGGGGGAAGCGATCGGCTCTGTGGCCTCATCGGACGGACCCGGTACACGACACTGGTGGCCCTCCTCCCAATAGTCAGTGCTGTCTCCGGGAACGTCGGCCTGCAGGCCAGCACGCTCACCACCCGAGCCATCAGCCACGGACAGGTAAAGGTAGCCAATTACACCAATTGGCTGTTTAGAGAGGTGGGAGCCGCCCTCTATCTCGGTACGCACTCTGCGCTCTATTGCTGCTGGTCTTGGGCTTTCGCTGGCCTTTTATGTTGCTTGTTGTTTGCTGTCTTTGTGGATGCGATACGCAACCATTTGCACAAGCCCAGGACTAAGGCAGGGCAATCCCTCACACACATTCGATTGTTTGTCCCCGACTGTATGCGTTCATGTCTCCTCATTTTTTGGTTGCTCGTGCGTTGCGTTGTGTTTCGTTTCGCTTCGCTCCGACAGGCCTAGGGAATGGGGTGGTCACTGGGTTTATCGCCTTCTTGATGGGTGGCTTCAGCGTACCCTTTGCCCTCTCCATCGCGAGCGCCCAGTTCATCGGCATCGTGACGGCGGGCTGCACCGGGACCCTGGCCCCCCTGCTCTTCACCTTTATCTTCGAGAAGGATTCGGGAAAGTGGGGCGGGCCGCTGGAAACCGCGGTCCAGGACGTCGTGGGGTCCTTTGCCATGATCGTGATCAGCTACCGGATCATGCTGTGGTTCGGGCCCTACGAGATCGAGCCGGAAGATGCGTGCTCGGTGGTTCCGGCCGTGGACTGAGTCTGGGCCTCTGGTCCAGCTGGACTACCYACGAGCTTCAAGAGTCGAAACCCCAACCTTCCAGGGACTACGAAAAAAAACAAAGAAACCCCGCAACAGCGACGTGCACGAAAAAAAAAAAAGGAACCGCGGCCTCCTATGGTGGACGAAGGCGGGGTTTGGAATCGAATGGAGTAGAATCAGTCGATCAATCAATATAATTTGTGTTCACAGTACCATTAGCTTAAACCGATCCGTGGTATCGATCTACGAAATAACTTAATTCATTTTAGTGGATTGCGGAGATTTATTGTGCACGGCATGCATGCATGCACCGATCGATCCCATGGGTTCGTTCGCTTCTTTCCCATTGTCGCACCGCATGCCACCCGCTGCGCGTTCGTTCGAAGCGTTCTGTGCGTATTGCTGTGTACATTTGCCATGTGCGGCGTGACCGGTGCTACATCATGCTGTTTGCCTGCCGTTGTTCCAGGGCTTGCTGCACCTGGTTTCGGATCTCCAGGTATTGGTCCTGGCACGAGGCGAGGCATCTCTGTTCCCCGCTGTCCAATCGGTCGCCCTGTAAACCCAGAAAATCCAGCACACCAGCGCGACACCAAAAAAAGACCGGTGCAAGTGATTGCGGGGCGAAAAAACGAAAGAAAGAGACAACAAACGGGGATTACCGGTGTGAGAGTGGATCGGATCCTCCTTTCCTTTATCGCTCCGTACAACCGCGCACACGACACCTACGCACCGAGGTTCCGGCGCACTTTGAGAAACAGGTTTTGACCATTCGTTGCACCATCTAGGCACAATGTGTCACACACACAACCAACATCGAGGAGAGACCGAGGCAACAACAAAGCGAAAGAAAGGGTCAGCACGCGGATACGGCCATCGATCGACAAGGACATGGACARCGAGACTCGAAGCGATTCAATTCAAGTCGACTCGGTTTGGCAAGACGAAACTTTGTCCACGGCCAAGAACCCTCATCGAGACAGAAGCATCGGTATCGGCATAGAAATCCAAATCCAAATCCAAATCCAAATCAACCCGGCCTTGCTGATCTCTTACATCGGACATAATTCTTTGGTTCGCCTCTTGCTGGGCTTGTAGCAGAACAGCCTGGCGCTGTTCGGGTGTGAGTTGATTCAAGTCCATTCTGGCGGGCAGTGTGTTCTCTCCGGTCGCGGTCGCTGTTCTTTCCAACAACAATAGTGTGATGTGATATGTGATGCGGTAGGAATGGGGTTGGGTGATCTGGAAGGTACGGTACTTCTAGAAGTACCAAGTACTACGAGTACAGTACTGTACAGTCCGCCGCATCGTATCGTTGACTGGTACGAGTAGTAGTACAGTACGGTACTACGTCTCTTTTTTTCCTCGAAACGTGAAACCAAAAAGGAGCCGTTCGCGGCGGAGTGCTCTTCTCTTGGAACGAGCGAGTCGGTCGCCGTACGGACGCCATCAAGGATCGAATGAATCCAACCCTCGAGCGGGACTCAGAATCTTTCCGGTCCCGTTTAAGAAAGATCGAAAGCAGTTTTTGGTGTATCACTTTTTGAATCTCGTCTTCTCGCTACGAGCACGAGTCCGCTAGTACGAGTACGCTACACGCTTGCCACAGTACCGTTCACTTACGTGAATTTTCTACCGCCATGCGACGGGGCACTGCACTCGCACGGGAACTCGTTGCCGTTACTGCATGTTTGATTTGACTTATGACAGCTCTCTTTCCGTGAAACTAGTGCTGTTGCTGCACACATTTTCTAGTTTTTGAACCATCGCTAGGCTTCCGGCCACCGGCGACTGTGCTCGACACCAGCAATCAAAGAAACAAATCCAACGGGAGATTCCCCTACAAAACGCTACCCGGAGAGGAGCAGACGCCATGAGCGCCGCGTACGACTCCCGGAACGGGCGTCCCAGCAGTCGGTCGAGGGGACGGAACAACATCGGGGGGCCGAGCACAATTGCAGACAAGGCCGATGCCTTTCATCTCGGCCCCGGAAACGACCAGCCCTCGTCGATATGGACGACGCGCCACGTCGAAATGCCCATCCCCAGCACCATTTCGCTGGCGAACTACCAGAAACTCTACAAGGCGAGCCGAGAGGCGGGGACCTTGCTGGGAATCGCGGAAGACCCCGGCAGCGGGATCGGAAGCAGCGGCAACGCCGCCAAGGCTTCTTCCGGTGCGGCCGCTTCCAACAGCGGGGGTACCAGCGGCGGAGACGACGACAAGAACGGCAAGGGAACCCCGGGGGGCGGGGGCGGGGGAGCCAGCGCGACCGCGGGAAGCAACACCGGTGCGGGCGGAGAATCGAGCTACTTCTCCGGTTTTATAGGACGCGTGTTGAACACCAATGCCAACGACAGCAATTCCAGCAAGGGGGACGAGAGCGATCCGATCCTCTCCGCCTCGGGGTCTTCCGTGCGCCCCCTCCGGCCGCCCCGAAACGGGTGCGTGGCCACCGCAAACTCGTGGATGGTAGCGGCCGTGGAATGCCCTGGAACCGGGGCGGCAGGATTCTCGTCGCCGAGGGCCGATGCCAATCCCTCCGGCGCCAATGCCAGCACTACGCTGCGCCTGGTCACCCGCTGGAACGTCCGTCGAACGAGCGGCGGGGTGCAGGACCAGTGGATGGCTCTTCCGCCCCCCGTAGCCGGCGGGGACGGCCGGATCGTGCACGTCTTTGTGGACCCGACGGGGACGCACACCCTGCTCTCGGCGCGCAACGGGGAGGCCTACTACCACCACTCCTCCCTGAAGGAACTCCAGAAACTGAATGGCTTTGGGCGCAACGCCGACGGGACCTGGCCTTCGAAGGAAAAACTCAACGGGATTTCCGCGTCGTCGCAGCAGGTGGTCACCCACGGCAGCGGTGGGGGCAGTTCGAACAAGAACAAGAAAAAGAACAGCAAGTTCACCCTGCCGATTCAGCAAGGTTTGTCGGTCGGATCGTACGTGACGGCCGTGGCCTGGGACCGGGAGAAGGGCACCGAGGGAACGAGCCGAAAAATCTTGCTGGGAACCAGTGCCGGTGAAATCTACGAGTACATGCTCGTCTCTCCGAACGAGATGGCCGCGGCGACATCGAGTGGCGCAAAGGACGCAACCAGCAAATCGTCAACGTCCAAGTCTGCCATCGACGATCCCGACGAAGTGGCCTTGCTGACCAAAAATCCGGTCTTGCTGCACCAGCTTCGATCCGATGCACCCGTCACCGGGTTGATCTTTGAACGGCTAAGAACCGGGCTGCTGGTGATGTGCTGCACCTCCGGCAGGAAGAAACGAACGCGGTTTTACACCTTTTACTCGGCGCACAACAGTTCCTTTCGCATGGCCATGGCCGACGAAGCCCACGCCAGCCTGGTGGAGCTTCCCGGAAGCCTGAACCGGGCCGAGCTGAAGCTCTGCAACGATCACATCTGCATGCGCACCGAAACCGGTATCTACTACGGCAACATTGATCGGGCCCAGAGTGGCCCGGCCTTTGCGGGGGGATCCATGATTGTGGACTCTGGCATCTTGCCCTATGACGGAGACAAGCACCACGGTTCTCTAAGCAACACTTCCAGCGGCCACATCCCGGTGTCTCTGGCGGTGACACCCCACCACATCATCACGCTGGAAAACAACGAGGTCCGGTTTATCAACCGTGTGTCTCAGAAGGCCATTCAAACCGAACGGATTGATTTCCAGTCGATGACCTCGGATCGGGCTCTAGACGACTCCATCATGGGAATTGGTGAGCTGATGAGTGACATCCGGCGACCCGATCAGGTTTGGTTGCGCAAAGCACGGAGTCTGGTACACATTTCGTCCAGCCAAGAAGATCGGGATGTATGGAAGTACACGCTGAACAAGAGTCTCAACATGCCGATCAAGAGGGCAGCTGCTGGRTCCCACAACGTTCTCAGTGAGGAAGAAAAGGCACAGGAACTCATGTTTGAACAGGCCAAGAGCCTCTGTACGAATCCGTCGCAAAAGGCTGTMGTCACGGCGGTTCGAGCGGAATACCACCTGTCACAGGGTCGGGCAGAGCTGGCGGCCAAGTATTTTTCGCAGTGTCCCCCGGCCCTGGAACCTTTTGCCGACACGGCGGTCCGGCTTGCACTGATGAACCTGGGAATCGACGACCCGCATTCGTACAGTGGATCGCCACTGGCACGGGACGCCCTGAAGAGCAATCTGCCCTTGATCACCTATTTGTCCGACAAGATGCGGGTCGGAAAGAACAACAACGACAAAATGACCTGCACCATGATTGGTGCTTGGTTGACGGAACTCTACTTGCACGAACGTGATACCTATCCCGGGGCGAAGCAATCTCTCACGCAGTTCTTGTCACAAAACGTTCACACGATGGACGCCAAAACCATTATGAAGATACTGACTTCCCACGACGTTGGCGCCACCGATTGTGCTGCCTACGCAGCCGTGAGCGGAGACATTGCTACAGCCGTAAACGCTGCTCTCCGCGTGTCGCCCGATGCACAGGACGGCGTGGTCGAAGCTCTCCGGATCCTGAACGAATCCCCCTTTGAAATTTCCGAGTCTCTGTACTACAGATATGCCTCGACGCTTCTGGCAAGGGCGCCCAATCTGGCAGGCAAATCGTTTTTGTCCCGATACACGCACGGGCTGAGCCCCACCCGGCTGCTCCCATCCTTCATGCACTACGAAAGGCTTCGGGTAGAGAGGAATCGTGCCAAGCACGTGGCACAGGCCGCCAAGGGGAAGAACCCCTACTCGAAGGGTTCCAGGGACAACGTCGACTCGGCAGGATCCAGGGATATGTTTGGGGGCGGTGTGGAAGTGCAAATCATGAACCGCGTTGGCTCGTTCGTGGACGAGCCGGTAACCACGAAATACCTGGAGGGCGTGATCAAGCTCGGCTGCCAGAGCAGCGCAATATTTAGCTTTCTCATCTCGCTCTATGTCGACATGGTAGACGAAGAACCACTCTACAAGTTTTTGTCGGAGCACGTTCCCTCGGCCGCGGTGGCATCCGAGGCCGCCCGAAACGCGGGACTGGGGGCTTTTGCCGACGACGGTTTGTCGGGTCCACTCGACATGTCGTATGCTCTTCGAACCATTCTGGGGACGGGGCGGCACTTTCGATCGGCCATCAAATTATACATGTAAGGGTGCCATYGTTGTTTYCTTGGTGTTTGTTTGCATCATGGGGTGATTGGCGGGTGTCTCTCAATGCTTTCTTGTTTTCTCGCAATGTTTTACAGGGGCTTCGGTATGAGACAACAAGCCGTAGAATTGGCACTGAAAGTAGATCCCTCTCTAGCGAGGGACCTTGCACAAGACAGTGTGGAGCTGGAAGAGCGAAGACGTCTGTGGCTCATGATTGCGAGAAGCGCRGCGTCGGAAGGTGTCCGGGGTGGAGATGTTGACGTTGTGTCGAAGGTTGTCTCTGTTTTGAAAGACTGTGGGCCGGATGTTCTGTCCATCGAAGATGTAAGTAAAAAGAAGGAGACGAATCCTTGTCCGCTCTTTGCTTTCACATTCTTCTCAACGTAGCGCTTGTGAATACGTACAATTCAATTTCCTCTGCACTCGCACTCGCATTGTTGTTGGTTCCGGGGTATCTACAGGTTCTTCCGTTTCTGCCAGACTTCGCGCAGATTGACCAGATTAAGGACGAAATATGCGAAGCTCTAACTTCCTATTCCTCCAAGATTGAAGGCTTTTTGAAAGAAATGAGTAATTGTGATCAGAATTGCGATGCTCTGCGTGGAGAGATATCGAGACTTCGAACTCATAGGATGGAGTTGAAGTCTGATGCCCGATGCGCATTTACGAAGAAGGCTGTTCTCTCATCCGGAGAGCCTTTCTACGTCTTTCCTTCGGGGTATGTAGTCTTGGAGAGTGCTCTGAAACACGAAATTAAACCTCATTTGAACGAAAAGCAACGAAGTCGTGTGGACGAAATCGAGCAAGCGTTATTGAGGAACAAAAACGATCGCAGCCTATCGTTACAAAACKTAGATTCACTTCAAGCAGAACTGGATGGTTTGATTGCTGCCGAATGCCCCCTGACTGGATCTGCGATGGTAGAAAGTATCGACCAACCCTTCGCCGATAGCATGGAGATCGAGGACATACTTAGCGCTGGGGCTTCGGGCGGCAGAGGTACTACAGCATGCGTCTAAAAGGGCATCAAATTTCTCGTAATTCTGTAAAATATTAGACAACGAAAGAATATTGTTTTCCACTCAGCAAATAAGTTTTACTTAAAAATATCGCGATGCAATGGCTTCAGACCAGGTGTCAGGGAAGAAATCACCGATCGGCGCGAAGTACTTGTTCCAAGAAGACACAGTAGCAGTTGTTTGTCATCCCCACGCACGTGCAATATTTTGCCTTGGTCTTGTTTACCAAGTGCAAACAGTGCTCGTTTGCCTCTTGGATTCACGAACGCCCATAAATGGGTGATGGCCTCACCAGTCCTAGGATCTCCTCTAAACTTGACTTTTGAAATGGTCGCCAGTCGCATAGCATCGTACAATCTAGCTGGCGCTTCCCCAGGGTTTGGATCGGCTACTAGCTTAAACGCAGTCAAACGGCAAGGCATTCGAGACCTATTTAAAATCGAATAAAACCAGAGCAAGCCCATGAGATCCAAGAGCAATTCAGCATCATTCTATCACRAACAGTCTCCGGGGAAGGAGATTCATCTCATTTGGACTTACCACAAGAACCTGAAGCTTTCTACATCACCTTGGCTATCGCGAAAGAAAACAAAGGGGCATGGTTGCAGACCAATCATCGGAGACAACTGCATCGGTTCGCATGCGATCGAAACATTTTGCTTTCGTACTTTGCTATCATTGTCGTCCGTTCCAACACTCACAGCTTTACTATTACTACTCGTTACAGAGGTCTCTTCGCCATCCTTCTGTTGTAATTCCGTACTCACCCATGCAGCATAAGGTGTCTCTTTATCCAATGAACGAAACACGATCGAAGGGTTTAGACTCAACGATCCTGTCATTGGCAAAGGATTCATCATGATATCCCATGATATATGATCTCCACCCTTGAGTTCTTGTTTGAAAGTTGCTACCGATGACCCGAATGCACTTTTTCCTACTGATTTTTCATAACCTTCGCCAARCGCATTGGAAACTTCCAACGAGTCGGCATCCTGAGCGTTTGCACTAGTAGCGATATTTTCCTCTGTGAAGCCCAATTCTACGCGAAGTCCATTTGGTATCTCCACAGCTGTGAGGTTGTCAACTCGCATAGTAATCATCAAGCGAAATTCATCTTCTCCATCATATCTCATGCYCCTCCGCAAATAGTATGCCAACGTGACTGCCACTGGGTCAGATCCTGCTGTACAAACTGCAACGTTGGATCCCCACTTAAATTTTGGGATATGASCCAGAGCATTGTGAGGACTTCGTGATTGCGGCAAGGGGGAAGGTGATAGCCTAAGCCAATTTTGTTTGCGAACTTTGGATGGTAAATTGTGGATAAGTGGAAAGGAATATATGCAACGGTCTGCTCTTGAAGTAATTATCAGTCGACTTAGTTGTGTGATATAACCTTCATTAAAAGCATCGGGGCCCTGAGATATACTGACATTGGAGATAATGCTTCTCCTGACGAACTCAACTGGGACAAGAGGAGATAATGAAATTGAATTTKTCGCAGTCTCACCACTGCTTGCAAAGGCAGACTGTATCCTTTCAATAGCAGCTTCGCAGAGAGGTAAAACATGAGAGTCCGAGTCGTTTCCAGCTTTGCCCTGCAATGCCTTGATAGAATAGTTCAGAACAGCTCTTGTATCGTTAGTGTTTCCAAATTTCTTCGTGTAGTAGCATGCCATTAAGGCCATGCTTTCGATACAAGCAATACAGACGCTGACAGTGTCTTGAGCAGCTTTTTTGTATTTGTCTTTCATTTTATTTGAATAGTCTTCTATTTGATTCTTGTTGCTGTCAACAACTTTACCGAGCATTCGACGAGGAGATACAGTAACGAGTAGTTGTTTTGCGCTATCAATATTCATACCAATTTCAGATGAAGACGAAGAACTGCCTTTTGATGCAGCATTACGTGCTTGAATCCATTGATCGGCAGCCAAGGACATTAAAGAAATACGCATATGATGCGATGCAATGCCAGCGGCTTTCATTTCTCTCTTGACAAGATTATCAATGAGCTCACCAAGTGGTTCCACCATATTTTTTATGAGTGGCATAGTTTCAAATCGAAGCAGATATTCGGAGTCTTCTTCCATTTGACCCCATAAAAGATGCGGGGGACACGTTATAGACGTCATTTTTAATGTAATGCTGTTTGTGTCTAGCAGACCTGCTGTATGCAAAACTTCTTGAAGCAATCGAGTGTACGCAGCCTGACTTGCCGTTAGCATTGTTATTTCCTCCTCTATGTATAAAGGGGCGGCACCCCACTCAGTGCAGGCAATAAATGCATTCAGTACGGTCAAGGAGAGTCGGACCCATTCATCTATCTCATCCTGACGAGCTGTCAAAGATGACGCTCGACTACTCTTCGATCCAGTTTTATACCTCCTTCCAACTTGGAACGCTACCATACAAAATGCCGTGACCAATTCTTCCCGGATTTTACTATGGGTACCAATAGTACTATCGTCATCATTCCTTTCTTCAAGAATATCTGCTATTGTGGAGCATTCAAGAAATTTGGCTAGGGTCTTACTTCGCACCTTTGAGTCGGTTTTGTTGCCTCCGTTCAATTCCAATGGACCGTCCATGAAGAAACTGAGCGCTATCTCAGCCCAAAAAGCTGGGCGGGATGGTGTGCGGTACTGATCCATACCGACATTGGTGTCGATTGAATGTAGATTATCTAGTTCCAGCAAGAGACCGGCTGACACAACACCCAGCGGTGCCTTCGTCGTGGATGGCAATTCCATCACACGATCAACGACAAACTCTAGGACAGCATTCACGCGCTCGGCGAGAGGGACCGCTCTGGACAAAATCATCAATGTCGACAAGATTTGCAATCGAGTTTCGACGCACATACACTCGTTTCTGCATTCGTCTTTCAGGACTGTGATTGCCCAGTGAGAAATTTCTTTCACCCAGGTCGCCGTTGGACAGGCATGGATCAGCCGAATCGAAGAAAGGGCGGCGGTCAGGGACGCTCCCATAGTAGCGACGGTGGATTCTTGCATCAACGGCAACAAAATTTCGTCCACTACTGTGCTCATTAAGGAATGACAATCCAACTGCTCGTGKGTTCGTCGCTTGAGAATGTTCGGTTTCCCTCCATCGCTGTCACCAAGGCTCTTAGTCATCGGCAGCGTTGTCTTGGAACGATAGACGAGGGAGGCGGTCAGTATCGGCAGGATCATTGAAAGATGGGTCGGATGATTCAACACTAGACACCGTGACACGAGTTGCATCAATCGCGGGCAGATTACGTTTTCAAAGATTCGGACTTGCAATTCGGATTGCAGTGCTGTCGAGTCCTCGTCCAGCAGTTGTCGGATGGTTGGTGCGTAGGGTTGCAGTCCGATCTGCGCAATCGCACGAGCCTCGGTCCACAACTCGTCGTCGTTCAGGGTTCMCAGTGTCGGCGTGGTGGACAAGATGATCGTTCCGAGACCGCTCATTGCAGTGGCTGCTACYCCATCGTCYGCATCGTCTAGTGCGGCCGTRCAGAGGGCCATTGGAACATCGTTTCCTACTTCATCGTCCAATCGGTTCATGTAGTTACTACCAGCAGTGTTGGAAGTGATGTTGTTTCCATTACTGTTTATGTTAACATTTGCAGTAGTATCGTCCCTCAASCCCGTCGTTGTGTGGGGAGACTTTCGCAGACGTGCATAGGCAGCTCTCGCCACTGTGGCAATCGTCTTGCACGAGATGACCCGGCAGCGTCGATCGTGGTGCTCYCGAATACATTCCAGAAGAGCAGCGAAAGATTCACTAATAGTCWGAGCAAAGGAAGATTCATGAAAGAGTGAAGACGAATCGACGTATGCCATCGAGCCARTCGAGGCATTGGCATTCGCCGTCGTCGTTGCTTTCGAAGATCCGTTGGCGGCAAACTGATTCAGCAAAAGGCACGTCTTTGACACAGCACTGTAATTCGACCGATTGTCACGCAGAGGCGCTAAAAAAATTGTCGGATTTGTTGGATCGGAAGCAAACGTGGAGGGAAACGGTAGCATAATAGCAGGGTAACCACCGAGTGCATGCTGTTTCTCTCTGATTTGCTGCCCGTCGCCATTTTGCGATGGATCTCCAATTATTTCGGAATTCGCTGGGGCCATCGCCTCTGGAAGAACTTCTACAGACATTTTTCGTTATTGAATTACAACCCACGATGTGAAAGAACAAATCAGAGCTTCTAAATGAAAACCGATTGTGATGCTGTCTCTCCTCTATTGTGTTGCCAATTGATACAGTAGCATGCGTCCGAACGACACAGGATCATGAAATCAATGCTTATCATTTTTTTGAAGTAAAGTACGAGGTACGTGCGGTTTACGATATTGTACGGTACGATACCGTATTTTTTTTTCGAATTTCCTGCCTTTTTCGAGATGCTCCCAATGCGCGGGCATACCGTACGTACGTACCGTACATATCTTACATACTACGCGTTGCGGATCAATTGAAATACGATACACAGGGCATTCCAAATGTTAGAATCAAAGTTCCCAATGTAAACTTAACATTCCCAATATCAGACTCAATGTTTGGAATGTTAGTATATCAATGAAGGCCTACATAGATCCTGGTATAATCCCCATTCCTCATTTGGTAGCGCGTTCTTCATTTGGTACTAGAAGTACTACTAGTACTACGTCACAGTGACGTACTAGAGCACCCCCACCAGCACCAGCATCCAAAAACCAATGATTTTGCTGGTCTTCTTGTTTCCTAAAGAAGAGGAAGAAGCAGGCACCTCCCTGCTTCTTACTACATTCAATATGTTAAGTAGAGCATTTAGAATGTTAAATTCAAGCAAATATGCAGTACTCATTTCTACAAAGGCCTACTACGGTGCAAACATTTGGAGGAACTTTGACTTGTTAAGTTAACATTGAGAACTTCTTTAATTCTAACATACAGAATGCCCTGTGAAACGTAATGTCAATTGATCTGCAACACAAAGATAATTTTGTGCTTCACATGTTGCCATGTTGCCAGCTTCAAAATGTTGCCCCTCACCAATGCACAACCAAGAAAAAGGAAGAGAATAGAAAATATTAACTTTTTTGGCAAATACTAG